GGGGGGGGGGGGGGGCAATACTTCATCCATTTGTTATCTTTCTAAAAATAAAATCTTTGAAATCAATTGGTCCATGAAACGCAATAACAACAACAACCAAAAAAAAAATATATTTAAAAATTGAATCCAATGATAATATTGATATGCAAAATTGAATACATGATCTAGATCGTTTTGTTTTTGTTTAAAATATCAAGCATGTATGAGATGAGATTCAAAACCAGGAACAGACACCCAAACAGGGTTTAATTTTCACCCATTGGCTAATCCTGTTCCCAAACAAAAAAAAAACAACAAAAAAAAAAAAAAAAAAAAACCAGTAGCCAATCAACGTTACTGTTTTTACCACGGGGTGTGCTGATTGATCTATTGCAATTCTGATAGTAAATACTAACAAATATGTACACTATAGCTTCGTTACTTGGATCTAATGTACACGCTATCAAATGCGATAAAAAAAAATCAGGGGTTGACTATGTACATCAATATCAATGTAAGCATCATTCGAGTGAAAGTATAATAAAAAAACCAAAACAAAGTTCCGAATCTCCGCTTGAATGCCATTCAAACGGGTTTACCCAAATTTCTACAGAGACCTATGCCAGATATTTGTTAGTTCATAATATAACTCAACTACTGATACACATTGCCAAGGTGGCATTTACTATTATTATTATTAATATCATGAATATTTTCTCATGATCTAATCTGATAGAAAATCCCCCTCATTCCATTCATATATGAACTATGGTTCATTTACAACCATAAATATTAGATTTTATGGTTTAAAGGTTGAAGACATTTATAAAAATTTTAAAAATAAAATCTTCAATGAAATGTTAAGAAAAAACTGGCAGAACAGGCTGATCTCAGTGTCATGTGACTATAGTTAAGAATAAATTGGTTCGTGCACTCCACCCTTCCACATTAAAATAACAATAATATTAATAATAATAATAATAATAATAATAATAATAATAATAATAATAATAATACAAACTAAATCGTCAGATATGGCACCAAAGTGTTAAGTACAAGATCACAATCGGCATGGCGACACTACGACTAACATCAGGTGTTACAACACCAAACACAGATTTAGGCCTATACAGTGCTTCTCACGGGCCCTTATGTATCAAACTATGGACCCCAGCCATATTCAGATGAGCATCCTTGTCAAATGTTTTTTTTTTGCGCGGAGGGGCGGGGGGTAAGTTGCGAGAAAAAAGGGGGGGGGGGGGAATACAGAATCGAATCACAAAATACAACACGTTGATAATGTCATGTTGATGATGTCATGTTGATTATGTCACGCTGATGATGTCATGTTCATGGTGTCATTTCAAATTGAAGACATGAAAAGTGTTCCGAACATCCCCTCAGAGTATACGTTGAATGACGATGAAAATCAAAAATAGCTTTTGAATAATATATTCAAGTTTCTGCTGTGAAGTTAGACTCCTTGGTTTGATGAGTACAACACGAACAAGTCTCGTGCTAAACAATTATGGAAGAGAGGAAATGACGTAGAGAGGGGGGGGGGTAGGGGGAAACATGAATGCCCTAATTTTTCAAGCCTGCTCTTCAACTGCTAAGATTTACATGCGGGGGGGGGGGCAACTTCGTGGTGCATGCCGGTCAGTTCAAACAGGCGAGTTCTTTGCGTCGTGGTCATCGTTTGGTAGCAACAACAACAACACAACACGGAACAGGAACTCGCCCATTGAATAGTCTCCCCCTGTTTCCATGACGACCTTTGGTTCGACCCTTTTTATGGGGGGTTTACTGCAGGACAGGTTTGACCGGCTTCCTTGGGTTTAGTCATTTGATATGACTAGTCAGGTGACAGTTGAAGTCGATGCGGTCCTTGCACACGGCCCCGCACACCACGCAGCGGAACGGCTCGTCGTGGGCGTGGAAGCCGTTGTGGAGCAGGAACAGCGACGCGTCCTGGAATATCATGTGGCAGTGAACACACTTGTGCACGCGGCCTTTGGCCAGCAGGAAGGTCACGAGCTCGTTATCGTCCAGGTCGCCCCGCTCCACGGCCTCGGTGGTCGAGCTGACGGGCAGGCTCGAGGTCGACTGGGGCGACTCCTGCTCGCTGCCGGCGCTGCTGAACCGCCGCATCGGGTGTCGCTGCTTCCGCGAGGACGACGACGGGATCATCCGGGTGTTGAGATTCTGGCGTTCGATCAGCCGCTTCGGGGGGCGCAGGTCCGAGTTGTCGGCGCCGCCCTTGATGGGCCCGACGGTGTCGTCCTTCTCTTTACTGGAGCCGTGTTCGAAACTCTGCTCGTGTCGGTTAATGCTGTTTCGGCTGCTGCGGCCACTGTGGGTTTGGTCGTAGACCCGGCTCCCCTCGTGTTCGTAGTCCCCGTCCCTCTCTTGGTCCTCGTCATGGGCGTAATCTACCTCGCGGTTGCTGCTCTTGTTGTCCCCACTGTTGTTGTTTCCGCCACCGCTGCCTACACCGGTGCTCCCTCCCGACGGCGTTCTCTCCTTCAAACTCTCTCTCCTGTCCTTTTCAAAGCTTCGACTCCGGTTCCGTGACCTGAACCCGCGCTCGCTCCTGTCTCTGTCTCTGTCCCTCTCTCTCTCCCTCTCTCTGTCTCTGTCCCGCTCCCTCTCCCTCTCGCGATCACGCTCCTCGTGCTGGGTGAACCGCCTCGAGCTGGACGAGTAGCCGCCGCCCCTGGTGTCGTTGCTGTACCTCTCATCGATATCCGTGTCGTCGTCGTTCTCGTTGTCTCCCATCTCGTGCTCCTGACTGCCCAGGTCCTCGTCGCCGTTGGTCTCCATGTGGTGGTCGTCCGGCGACGGTAGGCCCTCGTCGCTGGACACGCTCCTGGTGAAGGCCGGGTTGTCCTTGTCGTCCTTTGCGTTGGCCGGCGTCTCGGCGTCGTACCGCTCCTCCGGGGTGTAGGGCCGGCTGGAGGCCCGCAGCTCGGCGTCGTTCCGCTTGGCTGCCGATGTGGTGCTGACGACGTCCGTGCCGTCGCTAATGCTGTTCTCGTGCTGCTGTTTGAGGAGTTGCTGCTGCTGTTCTTGGTGGAGCTGATGCTGTTGCTGAAGGTGGTGCTGCTGAAGTTGTTGTTGTGGTGAGTACGTGGGGGACAGTTTGGACAGGGCGTCGTGCTTCATCTGATTGGGGAGTACAGAAAAAAAAGAACACTTTTTTATAAAGTAAAAGAACATTTCTAAAATGACTTAAATAAGAAGGAAACATTTGAGAATAATCAATCCCAGAAGAAAACGTGTTCAATTCTATCAGTGCCCCAGTGGCGTTTCAAAGAAAAAAATGGGGTGGGCGGGGAGGGGGGGGGAGTCTTTAAAATGTCATATATTTATCCCAGAGCTGGTGCTTTGATTAAAACATTACAAATGATCTAATCCCATTGATATTCTTTTTCCTTTTTGGTCAGTCTCGTCCTCAAACTTTACACTGCTTTAATATCACGCCTTCCCCAGGGTATATTTCTTATTTTACCTACTTTCACAAACGGCTCAAATCACCCCTACCACCACTATCCCTACCACCACCACTACCATCACTATCACCACTACCACAATTATCACTACCAACACCGCTCTCATTTATGTATTTTTCCCCGTAAAGTAAGTCACTCAAATAGATAAAAAAAATATATATATATATATATAACCGACAACAGCAGCATTTCTAAAGAAATATATGTATCTATTTTGTACATAAAATCATGCACAGGTGCTACAGTTATCCGCTTCGGGAGCAACACAACAAAGACAGGATCACAAGAAGAGGATCTTAAAATGATATCAACCAGATTCTTAAATGTGTGCTTGAGATGGTGCCCTAACGCCATACAGGATGCTGCTCGTGGCTTAAGCCATCTTCGTAATGTGTCTGTTTTTATGCCAGTGATTTTTTTACATTGTATATAGGATCTATACTCTTTTATTAACATGTTCTCAACTTTTATCAAATGGATTACTTTTTGAAGAAAAAAATATGTGAGGGGGGGGGGGGGGGGGTTTGGAGTGGATGGCCATTTATGCCAGTGATTTTTTTACATTGTATATAGGATCTATACTCTTTTATTAACATGTTCTCAACTTTTATCAAATGGATTACTTTTTGAAGAAAAAAATATGTGAGGGGGGGGGGGTGGTGGTTTGGAGTGGATGGCCATGCTGAAGAAAGTAATGTTTAAGAAAGCCATTGGAATAAATAGCATGCAAATAAAAATCATGAATTTTGGCAATTTTTTTTTTTTTACATCCCTCTAATTTAAAAAAAAATTTTTTTTTTAAATTTCCTTCTGATGGTGTTATGTTTGACTTCGAATGAAACGGTCTGGATCAGAAATGCCATTTAGTGCATCGCCACATGCAAGGATGAATGATTTGATGACGTGTGATACAGTCAGACATGTCAATACACAAACACAACACATCAAACGTGCCCTGCCGCGTAACACTCACTTCAACGTCCAACGACGAATGTGATCTGAGCTGATTCTTACTTAGATCTCTAACACAACGAACCAGGCATGCCTTTCTAACCGTTGGTAGACGTGTGTAACACTCGCTTCAACGACTAATGATGGGCATGATCGGAGTTGATCCTTCAAATATCTACTACAACAATGTACCAGGGCATGTCTTTCCAGGCGTTGATAGATGTCTTAATAACTATACGACAACCTCCTAGCGTGGATACAACATTCGTGACGGGGATTTTTATTTTAACTTCCGGGCCTTTGGCTTTTCATACATTATTCTGATCAATTCAAGATCCCGGCCTTTGGCTTTTCATACATTATTCTGATCAATTCAAGATCCCGGCCTTTGGCTTTTCATACATTATTCTGATCAATTCAAGATCCCGGCCTTTGGCTTTTCATACATTATTCTGATCAATTCAAGATCCCGGCCTTTGGCTTTTCATACATTATTCTGATCAATTCAAGATCCCGGCCTTTGGCTTTTCATACATTATTCTGATCAATTCAAGATCCCGGCCTTTGGCTTTTCATACATTATTCTGATCAATTCAAGATCCCGGCCTTTGGCTTTTCATACATTATTCTGATCAATTCAAGATCCCGGCCTTTGGCTTTTCATACATTATTCTGATCAATTCAAGATCCCGGCCTTTGGCTTTTCATACATTATTCTGATCAATTCAAGATCCCGGCCTTTGGCTTTTCATACATTATTCTGATCAATTCAAGATCCCGGCCTTTGGCTTTTCATACATTATTCTGATCAATTCAAGATCCCGGCCTTTGGCTTTTCATACATTATTCTGATCAATTCAAGATCCCGGCCTTTGGCTTTTCATACATTATTCTGATCAATTCAAGATCCCGGCCTTTGGCTTTTCATACATTATTCTGATCAATTCAAGATCCCGGCCTTTGGCTTTTCATACATTATTCTGATCAATTCAAGATCCCGGCCTTTGGCGTTTCATACATTACTCTGATCAATTCAAGATCCCGGCATTTGACCTTTCATTTTCTAAAAACTAAGCCAGTAAACATTGAAACATCTTATATACTTATCGTTAATCTTTAAAATTCTTGAAAAAATAAAAATAGTTAATTTTTTTTTCAATTTTCAATAAATATCAGGTTTGATTTTATTTTTGTTGTCCAATCACTCCATCTGCTAAACCCGTGGTTCTCAACCTTCCTATACGCCGCGACACTTTAATACAGTTCCTCATGTTTTGGTAACCCCCCCCCCCCCCCAACAAAAAAAAAAAAAAAAAAAAAAAAATTAAAAAAATCAAACTATAAAATTATTTCCGTTGCTACTTCATATATATGTGTTATCCGATGGTCTTATGCGACCCCTGTTTAAGCGTCGATGGACCTCCCAAAGGTTGAGAGCCGCTGTGCTGAATTTTTTTTGTGCACTAAACGCTTTTTTTTTTAACGTACGACACTTGACCGAGCCGTTATATTGACGTAATGCATGACGTCATCAAATTACTTGCAATACGATGACGTATATCTGTCCTCATTAGTACAAGATACAATTCTCCTCTCATTCCGACGTGTCTAGAAATTAAGAGGCACCCGAGGCTATGTATCCAGCCCTCAGCCTCTTACCACATCGGCCTTCGGGGCACCTCGTCCGATGAAGCAAGCCAGGAGCCCACCAGCGTTGTGTTCCCAGAGGTTGGGGGAAACCAGAGCGATGCAACCAGATCCTCGGTCCCCCAAGCGTCTCATTAGTGATGTAGCCGCAAACAGGTTACTGTATATCCACGCCAGGAGTGGAAGCACGGGTCGTTAATAGGTAGCTAGGAGAGATCTCCGGCAGGAGTAACGCCACGTGATCAACACGTCATCAACGTCGGAGGACGGAGGTCGACCTCAAATCAAAAGGTCACAGAGCACTGTCTTTGTCATGCACCGGTCTGCATTTTTAGATGTTGAATATGATGGTAAGTTCAAGGTGATCACGACGTTTCCATTTCTCATGTCCATATCAGATCGTGCATATAAACATGTGAATATATAGACCTTTAGTGTTGATAAATAGAACTGCTCTCAGTCAAATGGGTTAACCTCTTTTGTCAATTTTAATCGTCCACATTGATATGATATACTGTCAGAGCCCCACGTTGACATGATCTACTGTCAATTGTCCACATTGACTTGATCCACGGTCACTTGTCCACATTGACATGATCTACTGTCAGTTGTCCACATTGATATGATCTATTTCCAGTTGCCCAAACATATAGTAATTAACTCAACTCCCTTTAAAGGCTGGTCCAGTTGTCAAAACGCTTAAAGCCACTCGGACACCACTCCTCTATGTGTATACATCCAGAAGCCACTCTTATTTGTGTAACCACCCAGAATCCACCATCTAAAATGAGTTGAGTTGTGCGAAAGTTTTACATTTGAATAGTGTCTTCACAGCCTACAGTGTTAGTGGCGTCACTATGAGCCAGACTCCCACCGTACACACGAGTGGTC